TTTTATATATTTATATATACATATATTAGGTGTATATAAAAGGTAGGTAATGTGTGTAATATATATATGTATGTGCAAAACCTATGATTATGTATTAATTTCCACTTGAGTTTTTGGATAGTTACACACAGTTAAAATAGTTTGCAACAGTAAAATGTAAAATTAATCATTTTAATTGCGTATTCTAAAAAGGTTAATTAAAAGAAAAAATATCAAAGTCACAATGGTTTTAGAGTTATAAGCGATACAAAGTTCTAAACATTAACTATAGTAGAATTTACGCGTTAATTATATGTCGCGTTAATTATATATGTCGTATATTGCATACCAACCACTCTATTAATTCTCACAGCTCAGCTAATATCGATTTTTATTGTTCAACTAATTTTGTTCTTCAACTTGTTTGTACATATAAGTATATCACGTATAGATTTATAAATTATTATAAATTAAAATAAGAGATATAAATTTAATTTTTTTCATTATACTCTTTCATATACATACATCTTGAGTATTATTTGTAAAAAGTTTAAAACCTTTTGAAATCTAATTTTATATTTGCAGTTATTATTCTAAACGAGAAATGTGAAGTACGCAACAGCGGAATATTTGTACAAAAAAAAAAAAACAAAAAACGAAAAGAATGTTACCATATAATTGTGCCATTAAACCAATCAATATCAGAATCGTTGATAATGGATAAAATTATTCATTCATAATCTTCAAACTTTTTAGAGAGCCCTTTTCAAATTGTTAAAATACACGATTCCACGATGACAGCTGCTCACAGTAAATAATAAGCACAACGCGAGAATTAATTAGCATCGCGAAAAATAGGAAACAATGAAATGGGAAACAATTGAATTTGACAGATTCGATTTTATACGTCAATCTGCAAAAAAGAGTACATCGATTAACGTACATTAGTTTACAAATAATGATAAATGGGATATTAATATCAAATCATTTAAAAGGTTTAAAGTTTAAAGCATCATGAAAATATATTGCACGTAAAAGTATAGTTTAAGTTGATGACAAAACTGATCTCAACATTTCTATTTTGTTCGGTCTACATATTAGAGTATACTTTGTGCGAACATTAATGCATCGCACTGTTGCAGCAAACCAAATTTATGAAATAGAGAGTTGTCATTTCTATAATTTTTTTATAAAATCTTCTTTAGATTACATGATTACAACGTAACGTATCAAAACATAAAATACGCGAATAACAAGTTCTATCAGAACTTCTTTTCAAAGTCGCCATTACCTACCGTCGTTTTGATTAAATGTTCCAAGATCGTAATTAAAATTTTTTTACATTATTATAAATCAGACGCACACACAGTAAGACCTCTCTCTCTCTCCCCCTCTCTCTCTCTCTCTCTCTCTCTCTCTAATGCGATAAATAATATTTAACTCATATGTTTTTTAATTGCAATCACAGAGTATTTAGCTTAAAATAATATGACAAGCTCTTCTCATGACAAAATGGCAAAAATTATGCATATATCATAATGGAGATAATATACAGTGAGCATATTTACAATGCATATTATTGAATATATGTAATTATTCAAATATAATAATTTTGTTTAAATAAATAATTTTGTTTAAATAAAATAATACTTGAAAAAGATTTATAATTTAGTAGGAAGAACAGCTTACATATTTTCATTTTCTATTTCAAATATTATTGTTCTCTATTTTTCAAATTTTTTGATCATCTTTGTAAATGATAACTATTTTCGTTTACTCACGTATTTCAGTTGCATATGCTGTCGCAAGCGCAAATGCAAACACTGCAGCGAACATCTTCAAAATCTCAAAGTTTTTCTTGGCACCTTTCAATATCGTAATAAGAACGATTCTAAGACATGTATGGTCAGTGTGAACCAAGGCTGATTAATGGAAATAAGACAAATTAACCAAGCTTATATATACTATAAATTCCCACTATTATGAGATCATTACAACTGATTCATATTCTTCTAAGATTTGCACTCTCGATTTTTATTCTGGCACGTGAAGCGAAGTTTGTGTGTACTTTGTTTTTCATCCATGTTATCTCACTCTATGTCCAATTATGTAATTACATGGCAAATGTATAGAGGAAAATATCACAGGAAAAGAATTTCAGATTAGAGGGGGACAATTGGTCCAATGGAAGAGGATGCAGGAGAATCTAGGAAAAAAAATTGCAATACCATATTATTATACTTAATAACTAGTCTTTTTTTCTTTTTGCAAACATGATAATTTTTTTCTAAATGCATATGCTTATTCGTGCTCATTAACAGAGACAGATTTTTAGAATTAATAAATAAAAATTGAAGTATGAAGTTGTCTCTCTTTCACAAAATAAAATACAAAGTTTCTACTAAATAAAAAATTATTCATCACGTATATGCGGAGCACAAATAAGTCTCTCCTATTTAAATAAAAATTTATTCTAATATATTAAGGGATCTTCCTAGTTTGACACTCTGAAAATAAGGCAATTCTAGGGAATTTTTTTTAAAGAAAAGTATAAAACATATTAATTCTAAACTTTGCACGTTTATTAAATAACATTTCAAGTATATCTTGAATTTTTTTCAAACAAAGATATTTGTTCGTTTCGAAGATATAGTAGTCCAACCAGGACAAGTGTTTCAAAAAAGAATTATTCGTGGCGAACATGAGTCCAGCCGTTATAGTCATCTGAAATAAAAAAACCAAAAAGATTCTTAATCTATATGAGTGTGGCTATCATGTAAACCAGAATAAAAAAAAATATTGAGAAATAAAAAAATGGCAGCGTCACAAAAAAGAATTTTATTTTTCACCAAAAAATTGGTTTGTTTTGTAAGTCGCAAAATTAGAATTTTGCAAATATCGATTTAATTCTAGTTCACACGATAGCCACATCTATACAAATTAAAAATTTTTTTGGTTTTTTTATTTCAGATGACTATCACGGCTGGAATCATGTTCGCCACGAACAACAATTTTTTTTTTTAAGACACCTTGGTTGGACTACTATAACTCCGAAATGAACGAATATTTTTGTTTGAAAAAATTCAGGATATATTTGAAATGTTATTTAATAAACGTAGAAAATTTAGAATTAATATGTTTTATATTTTTCTTTAAAAAAATTTGCCGAAAATCGCCTTATTTTCAGAACGTCAAACTAGAAAGACCCCTTAATTTAAATAAATGTTATATTTGCATTGAATTAATATGACAAAGACTAATAGTTCTGTAAAAAAATGTTTAATTCAAAAAATAAAGTTATCAAAATACTAACTTTATTTTTTTTTAAATGATAGATTGTGTTTGCACATTTTTGCTGCAATTTTACTTGAATAGATAATCATAGATAATAAAAATAATAACAAATAATTATAAATTATAAACAAGATAGCATACGAAGCAAAAAATAATATGCAAACTACATATGACTACATTGTAAAAAATGGTATCCATTTTTCAAGAGAATTTTCATATTTGCAATGATCGTAAATAATTATATAAGAGATATATATCGATATAATCGATTTTAAACCTGAACTTTGCAGAATTTTCCATCCATAAATATATACGTAATGTGTTCTTATATCTTATTTTTATTGTATAATATTGAAGCAAATATCAAGTTTACGTCAAGGATATTTTGTCTGCATAGTTTTTATGACATTATAAGCAAATATGTGTAGTATATATATATATATATA